GATTCACCTGCAAAGTCCTGTTTCTCACCAACCCAAATCAAAAGCTGTGTCAGGTGGAAGAATATTCATTCTCTCTCCAGGCCTCAGAACACACATATTACATACTTATATGGCTGTTTTTATGTGACTAGTCTTAGTCTCACAGTTCCCTGTCATTTATACATCTTTCAACTGGATAGTTAGTAACACAGCAAATAGTTTATCAAACTTACAGCACTGAACTTAAGTGGAAATTCTACCAGCCAAAAGGAATAGTAAGGTTTTACACTGCTTCATCCTCAGTTGCAAAACACAGACATCACAAGGCAAAAGGATTCCCTCCAAGGTGTGAAATTAGCAGCATCCTCCAGTTGTTAGACACGCTGAATTGTCAAAGCTCTGTACTTTACCAGACACTAGAAAGCCGATATCCTTACACAAACATGAAAACTCTGACACCCTACCTTCTGACTTTGAGTATGAGTCTGGAGAAATGCACCTCTCCTCACTGCTCCCGGAACTCCCCCACCCCAAAAAAGACCAACTTCACAGACAATTCATGCAAAATGAGGGTAAGACTGCCAGGAACAAAACCTGTTGTCAACGTACAAGCCACACTGCAAAAATAACACATCAGTACAGTAATAATCCCTTTTTCTAATGAGTTTTTGAACTGTTTTCCTTGGTGGTTTCTAGTGACTGTTTTTCACTGAGCATTCAATCCTTTTGCTAGCCTGGGCCACAATGAGTGAAGAGGAACTGTCTTGGGCTGCATATAAAATATGCAGAATAGTTACTATAAGTAACCAAACTTCTCCTTTTTTATATTTCCTATTACAACATTTTTTTTTGCAAGTGTCTCTCAGCCTCACTAGAGAGGAAGGGTGGGAGACTAGATCTGTGGAAGCCTAGTGTAGGGCCTGGAAACAAGTGCCTAGGCCTGTTTCCAACCCCAACCCAATTCTTCCTCAGGACACTGAATGGATGTTCCAGCATTCGAGGTGATTCTGACCCCAACTACCCAATGAGCTGACTCCACAGCTAACAGGCTTACATCCACAGCACTACCTTACTCTCTAGCCGCTCACTATGAGAATTCAGCTGTAATCAGGTCCAAGATCACCCCACACATTGGGTATATTCTAGGATGGCTCCGGGAACTCGGTGAAAATATTTTATTTATGTTTACAAACAAGTCAGGAACAGTAAGAAGAGAGTCTGAGGACAAGATGTGAAAGTGACTACAGTTAATATACAGTTGACCCTCAAACAACATAGGTTTGAGCTGCACAGGTCCAGTTATGCATGGGTCCTTATGAGGAATTTTTTTGGAAATTTTGTGACAATTTGAAAAAGCTCAAAGAGCACGGCCTAAAAATATCAAAAATAAATTTTAAATGTTAAATATGAACAAAGGCATAAAATATCAGTGACCGCCTCAATTTCTACTGTTATATGTAGAGCACTATTTCTATTACTGCCATAAAATATACATAAACCTATAAAAAGTTAACATCAAACCTTACAAATACAGGCCAAACACAGCCCCATTCTCAGTAAAGAGAAATGCACACAAGGGTGAAGATGCAATATAATACACAACTGCATAAAACTGTAGTTGGTATTACTGTATTACTGTAATAATTCTGTCGTCACCACCTGATGTGATTTCAGTGACCTCAAGTGGTTCAAGTACAGACTGAGACACCGATCCTCTTCACCTGAGCAATTCATCTCAAAATTGCATTTTCCACAAAAAAATGGTGTCTTGAGGTTTCTGTGTATTTTTTGCCGTATATATAGTACATACACCAAACAAAACACGTGTTAATCAACTGTTTTATGTTTTTGGTGAGGTAAACTTTAGGCTGTTAGTTGAATTTTGACGAAGTCTAAAGTTCTAAATAGGTTTCTTTGGTTTTTGCTTTGCTTTTTTTTTTTTTTTTTGGAGCGGTGCTGGGGACTGAACCCAGGGCCTCTGTACCATGCTACAATGCCAGCTCTTTTCTTAAAGTTACCCCAGGCTGGGCTCAAACTTGCTTCTTTCTGCCTCAGTTTCCCTGAGTGCTTGGCTTACAGGCATGCACCAACCTCCCTGGGCTTGTCTCTCTGACATTTTACTGAATAAGACAAAGCCAGGTAAAAGAAAAGAAGGTAAAAGAAAAAAGTTAACACTGTTGCCTAGTAACCTTTTCTAAGCACATCTCAGTACCTAATGACAAACCACTTTGCTATGGACAAGGCAAGCACCGGAAGGTGGAATGTTTAAAATACTTGAAAGGGTGGGCGCTCAGATTATCTTATCATAGACAAAAGTTTAGATCAGTTCTAGGTCAGACAATGATTAGCTCAATCGCCAGAAGAAAGAAACAACTAAGTAGAGCTCCTAAGACTTCAATTTAGGGTTTCTGAGATACTGAAGCCTTAACAAAGGTTATGACAACTGGTTTTTCCATTAGACAGAAGCCAGCAGCCTGATCTAAATGAATGTTAGAACCTGGATCACATCAAGTTTACAGAAGCACAGAGATATTTCTACACCAAGAACTTTGCATTTTATTGAGCCTGTAAACCGGTGGCAACCAAAAAGGTAGACTGGTGAGACAGTCACTCCGAAGAACAAATGATGCAATTACAGTACCTATAGTGTGTGCTACAAAGACTTGAAATCTGAAAACATTTTCCTCATTCTGCATAATGTTCACTAGACTGAAACAGGAGTACATTCCACAGAAGGACTATAAGACATTTACATCTGAGTAAGACTTAATAGAACAGGCAGTCTCCTTCCCACCCAGTTGACAGTGCTGCATTAGAAGTTTCCGTTTTCCTGTTTTGTTTTGGATGGGGGCGCTAAAGAGGATAACCAGTTTTACAGCAGGAATACTCCAGGAAGTGACACACCTGGTAAAAGCAGCTCTGGAAAACACGAAGAAAAAGGGCAAAGAGCCTGAGCCTCCAGAAAAGAGCCCCTAGAATTGGGAGGAAAAGAGCACCTTCCTCCAGGTTTTGCTAATACTTCATTTAAACCCAATTCTCCTCGGGCTGCTTCTCTGCTTTGAGTGTCGAATGGCTGCTAAAATGATAAGATTCTAAAACCAGACTGGGGGCCTGCCGCCTCTGCAGCCACCTCTGCAGCCCACTCACGAGGCCCTTCTTCCCCTCCTCCAGACTCAACAGGCTGGTTTCAGAAGGTCAAAGGAAAACTGGAGGAAATCTTGCCCACTGGGCAAGAGCTGCTTCAAAATCAAAGTACAAATAATTCCAGTGTATTATCTACTTCCCCGGTTTTCTCTTATACACCATGAAGCTGCTTCCTTGATGTCATTTGAGGACCGGGTCTTTGGAGTACGACTGACCACAGAGTTCAAATACGAACTCTGCCACTAGTTACTTTAACCCATCTAAAGGCTACTGCGAGGGTTAACGTGAGATCTGGCAGGAAAAATCACCTGCCTCACAGCAGCTCAGTAAGTGATGGGGGGAGCTCATACTTTTAATAATCAGAGTTTTAACTACTTTTGCATTTTCTAGATGTTTAAAATAGTACTCTACATCTAGTCAGACTACACTATGAATCATTTTTCAGGGTAATTCTTCCCCAAGAAAGAAATGTCTAAAACCTTTCATAAAAAATATAAAAATTCACCCTACTTTCCAGTTCAGAAACCCCTGTATCTCGGCTAGGAAGTACTGCACTGCCCTGAAATTCCCAACATTCTAAACGTAAGAGTCTAACAGAAACTCCCCTAAACAAAAACGTACGTTGGCACTACTATCAACACATATGTAAAAGCCACCTTTTTTTTTGAACTAGGTGCTGGCATAAAGGAGAGTCGCGATGAATCTTATTCCTTCCCACTTCCCACACTGAATTGCTCCAGTTATCCTTTTTGAATGACGCCATCAGAACCCATCAGCTCCATGCAGCACTCTTCCTCAGGTATACAAACAGCGGCAAATTTTAGGTCTCTTAAAATACTAACGAGAGAAAAAAACCCTGGGCTTTGTTTTGGAACGCTAGAAGCACAAGCATCAGTACAGCGTATCAGAACTACACCACCCAGGCCCTCAGACAAAACCCAGAGGCCTTCTGCAGGGCTCCTGCTTAACTTCTCGCGGCCCCTTCATCGAGTCTGCGGAAAGGTAAAGCTACGCTCCGCCGTCCCTGCGTCCTCGGGGCTCCCACTGCTGCAGCTACGGCGCGCAGTCCTCGGCTCGGAAGTGCTTTGCGGAACAGCAGCAGCGAGCAGCACCCATGTGCGACGGAGCACTGTCCACGTCACCAGGCAGAGTGACAAACCAGCCCTCGCCTCACCCCTAGGGACGGCGCTTAGGAACCGGAGGCTGCCGGCCGCCGGGTTCTGAGGAACACACACCCGCCGGGGCACAGGTTCCGCGGCTGCACCCGCGTCCGCGCGAGCAGGGGCCGGCCCGGGGGCGGAGCCGGG